AATGCTGGGAGTATTCAGTTGAGGGGAACATAAAGGCCTTGTGGAAAAGGCCCATAGAGGTTGTAATTATAAAATGGGGCTCCTTCTAAGCTCTAGCCACTACATAAAGAATATAGTGAAGGGGCTGGGGATGTGGCTCAAGTGGTAGTGAGCTCACCTGGCATGCGCGGGACACTGGGTTAGATCCTCAGCACCACATACAAAAATAGTTGTGTCCCCCGAAAACTAAAGAATATTAAAAAATAAAATAAAAAAAGAACATAGTGAACAACAAAACTGTTATGTTATGGCTTTAGAATTAACTACCAGAAAGCTGGGAATATTATCTCAGTTGGTAGAGTGCTTGCCTTGCATGCACAAGGTCCTGGGGTTCAATCCCTAGCACCACCAAAACAAAAGGGAAGAAGATTACTGAATGCATTTTCTCTTTTTTGAGGCTCTAGAGACTGAACCCTGGAGAGCTCTGCCACTGAGTTATATCCCCAACCCTTTTTTGAGACAATGTCTTGCTAATTTGCCCAGGCTGCTCTTGAACTTGCCAGCCTCCTGTCTCAGCCTCCCTAATGGTCAGAACTATAGATGTGTGCCACTAGGACTTGCAATACTGAACACCTGTTTCCAAATCCATTTTTTAAATTTTTAGGCGTTGAGGTTGGACCCAGAGTCTCTTTACAAGCCCAGTTATTTTCTTTTTTATAAGACAAGGTTTCTTTAAATTGCTAAGGCTGGCATTAAAACTCGTGATTCCCTCACTTTGGCTTCAGATTACAAGCATGTTTTCCAAATCTATAATGTGGAGACATAAAGAACATATTTGTTCAGAAGGCATTTAAGGTTTTTGCAGGTTTCATGGAGGGAGATATTCTTGCTCCATGGTGACAATCATCATCATGGAGGACAGAGATGGTGAGCAGGTACATTCAAGACCCATCAAAGAACATTGTGATATTTTTGTTGGATTATAGATAGAAGAGGAGGAAGTTGAATACTGGCTACTTGGGAGGTCGACAGAATTCCAAATTCCAGGGCAGCCTGGGCACTTTAGCTAGATAGCCTCAAAGCAGGTCTGGGAATACAGATCAGGAGAGTGTTTGCCTAATGTGCGGGAGGACCTGTGATAAAAAAAAAGGCGCAGGAAATGCTGAATGTTGCTTTGCTATGCTTGAAACACAACTCAGTAAACTTTAGTTAATATTAAGGTAGTGAATTAAGATGAAACATTAGGTGGGAAAGCAGGGCCTTGTTTCACCAGAGCCAACAGTAAGGTTTTAAAGAGTTCTTAGGTTTTTGTTTAGACCTTAAGAGCAGTTTTTGTATCCAGAAGGTTTTTCTCCTGATCCACCTTCCAATCATCTTTCTTAGATTTTATGCTTCTTTATCTATTAAAATATGTACTTTAGGGGACTGGGGTTGTGGCTCAGTGGTAGAGCGCTCCCTTAGCTCATTTGAGGCCCTGGGTTCGATCCTCAGCACCACATAAAAATAAAGGTATTTTGTCAAACAACTAAAAAATAAACATTGAAGAATAAAATATGTACTTTAGCCAGGTGTGGTGACACGCACACCTGGAATTCCAATGACTTGGAAGACTGAGAAGGAGAATCACAAGTTAAAGGCCAGCCTCAGCCAACTTATCAAGACCTTGTCTCAAAAAATAAAAAGGGGGCTTGGGTTTGTGGCTCAGTGGTAGAGCGCTTGCCTAGCCATGTGTGAGGCACTAGGTTTGATTCTCAGCACGGCATATAAATAAATGTTAGATCCCAGAACCAAAATAAGTACTTTAGCTGGTGCCTATAATCTCTACAAAGGGATGCAGAGGCAGGAGGATCACAGGGTTTGAGACCCTCTCTCAAAATAAATGGTTTCAGGGGCTGGGATTGTGGCTCAGCAGTAGAGCACTAGCCTAGCATGTGCAGGGCCCTGAATTCGATCCTCAGTACCACATAAATGAACAGAATAAAGGTATTGTGTCCAACTACAAAAAAAAAAAAAAAGCAGGCTGAGGAATAAGAAATAACAAACCTCCAGCAATGCAGAAATTACATGGAATCAAAATCTTAAAATTTTGCAAAGGGGGTAAGCGATTATTACAGTTCAAAAGATGAGAAAGACATGTTAACCGATTATATGTATTTTTGAAATTTTTTAGTTGTCAATGGACTTTGTTTATATGTGGTGCTGAGAATTGAACCCAGTGACTCACACGTTAGGCAAGTGTTCTACCACTGAGTCACAACCCCAGCCCACTAACCTATTCTTTTATAATCTGCTCTCAGAAACCTCTATGAATACAACTTTAAGGTTTCTAGATCATCCATTCGTCCAAGTTGTAAACCTGACTGTAAGTAAGCTCAGCTTATGTGCTCAGCATGCATAAGGGCCTAACTATGATCCTCAGCATGATCATAATCAAACCCTTACAACACAGGTCCAAACAGGAAAGGGTACAGTATCTTTAAAATTCCCCAATACAGCTTCCATTGGGCCTGCACATGATATCTCTATGTCCACTGAGACCCAGTAAGAAACAATAGCCCTACTATAGAAATGTACAGTCCACACAGCTTAATAGGCTGGGCCTTCAGGGAGATATGAGGCCAAAGGGAACTCCACAGTGGGATGAACCTGGGTCAGGATAGAAGGTGAGATGAGGGGCTCCACATTATCAATAGGAAAAAAGCCAAATTTCAGACAACATGAACATAGGACATAGAACAATAAACACCTTTATTACATGAGCTAAGACAGAAGGGAGGAGGACTTATTTGCCCTTCCGGGCTTTGATTTTCCTCAGATAGAACTCCAACTCCTTGCCTTCTAGAACATAGCCATCTGCTCGGCCACACTGTCCTGGTCTTGATGCAATGCAAGCTGTAAGAGATTATGTGGCCCTTAGTGAATGACAAGAACCCCCACCCACCTACATATATCCTCTGAAAAGATCCACGTTGTCTGGAATCCTGGGGGCAGGCATGAAGCCCACTGTCTCCTCAGATACATTTTATCATCACTTCAAGTCAGTAGCAGAACTGGACAAAGTTTTCATCACTGAGACAGCCCCCTCAATGCCTGGGCTTCCCAAAATACTCCTGAAACTTGAAGCCAAGCTGCAAGGATATGTGGATATACCCTTCCTACCCACAATTTTACATTTCACCTTCACACTAAGGTCTAATTATCATTAAACTCCCCTGATGAACCTTTCAGATAAACATGCCTGGCAGTCAAATCAACAGAGGGCACACTGCATCTTTGTGACTCCCATTTCCCCAATACAACAGCCATCTCACCAAGAAGCTTGCCCTGCTGGAACTGCTCCTCCAGAAGAGTGCTGATTTTAGCATTCTTCTTCCTTTCATCATACTTCTTTTGAATTTTCTTAGACCGCTTTTTGTTTAATATTTCTTCCTCCTCAGGAGTCTGAATAAAAAGGACACATATGGATTAGCTCAGGGAAGTCATCAGAACCTTCTTCAGCCCAATACCTGCCCTCCTCAGCATTAAAGGCATTCATCTCTTTCCCTTCAGCAGCAGAACTGGACAGAGTTTTCATCACAAGAAGGCTCAAGTCAGGCAGCCCTCCCCCTAACCCACACAGGGAGTAGCACGTACCAGCTTGGCCCCCTTCTTGCGGCCCAGGGGCAATGCATAGTGGGACTCATACCACTGTCGGTATGGTGTGCTATCAATGAGCACAATGCAGTTCTTCACCAGGGTCTTGGTGCGGACTAGCTCATTATTGGATGCATTGTAGACAACATCAATGATCCTTGTTTTCCGAGTACAACCTGCTCACAAGAGAAATTCAGAATCAAGCCATATACCAAGGGCCAATTGGCCTTCCCTTCCTTTCCCAAGTAGGCACAGAAGGAGGGAACTCTACTTCACTCAGCCATGGTCATCAGCTCCTTTTCCACAATCCCATCTTTTCCTAGAGATGTTTGACAACCACCCTCTAAAGATCAGCTCCAATCCCTCAGGATATAGGCAGAATAATCGAGATAGAAAAAACTCTCTTGCTACCTCAAGGTCTTTCAGCAAAGAGGAACTTCCAAGTGCTTTGCTCCAGAGTATGCAGTTCTCTTCTAAAAACACTTACAAAAGCTTAGCCAGGCTTAGGTGTTAAGTTTCCACCCACTTCTGAAGGGCCCCACTCACACTCAGAGCCCCAGGAGAAGTTCCCCACATCCAGTCTCAAAGCACGATACTTCTTGTTGCCTCCTCGAACTCTGACAGTGTGTATCCGTCGCGGTCCAATCTGCAGAATACAAGGAGACAAGAACTAGGTTACCAAGGAAAGAAAGACAAGCAAGGGAGGGGAACCTGGGCTCAACGGAGGTAACTGTCAGTGTAACTATGACAAGTCCTTCCACTGGCAAGTGGCACACAGGTGACCAATACGGCCACAACCACGCCTAAGGATACTTTTTTCATCATTCTAGTTACCTCCTAAGAAAAAAACCTGAGACCCAACACAAGAAATGCCCACACTTCCAAGAAATGATCAAGTCGCTGCAGGCAACTGTCTCTATCAGACAGTACACTCGGGGGACCAAGTCCATAGACCATGCGTTAATTTAGCATTTATTCAACATATAAAGGTAGGGAGGCCGCGCAGTCCCTAACATCAGAACCCAAGAAAACCCACCACCACACAGACCTGAGTACATAACACAGTAGGGAGAAGGGACCTTTCAGGCAATAAGGCCCAAGCACGCACCTACCTTAGTGTTGGCAGCAGGGCGTCCCAACTCATACTTCCGCTTCTTGTGGTAGGGCTTTCTCTTGCCCCCAGTCTTGCGGCGCTTGTGCCAGTTATCCCGAGAGATGCCTGTATGTGGAAACGGGGACGGAAGCTTGAACGGCTGGGGCTCGGTGCCGGTGACTCGCACGCTCCAGACCTCCCGCGCCCGGCGGGCCGCACGCTCAGCTCTCCAAGGTTGGCTTCCCCACTGCTTAGTCGGCAATATGCAGCATTACCAAAGTGTCATCATACACGTGCGGCCCAGCCATTGCTCTTTCCCGCGGCAGCCATTTGATGCCGCTTGCACTCTGGCTCCTCCGTAGTACCCCCACCAAGCCCCCGGGACTCTAAAACCAACAGGCCACCCCCTTCACGGCCGATTGTGACCGGAGATCGGGGCGCCTCCAGTTCTAAACTCGCCGTGGGGCAGGATGGCGCTGGATTGAGGTCAACCCGGTCCTCAGCCCCAACTCAGAGAAACACTCACCCATGGCTCGGCGCCGGCTGGAAAGAGGAAACGCAAAGCTTCACGGTCCAGTTTGTGAGACCCTGCCCCGCCTCCTTTACGTCGCTTCCGGGCGACGTGACTTACGCCTGTGCGAGTCTAGCCAATGGCTTAACTCCGTCGACCCAGTGCTCTTGGCCGCCTGTAGGCAGACTCGGGGAACGTTCCTGGGGCAGTTTCGGGAGATATGGAGTTTAGGGCACTACTGAGCATGATTCTAATTCTGTTTTATTTTCTTTGGTGCCAGGGATTTAATTTAGAACCACTGAACCACTTCTCAGCCCTTTTTACATTTTATTTTTAAACACGTAAGACAGATCGTTAAGTTGCTTAGGGCCTAGCTCAGTTGCTGAGGCTGATGGCTTTGAACTCGCGATCCCCCTGCCTTAGCTTTCCGAGCCGCTGGGATTACAGGCGGACGCTGTATTTACGTTTTTGAAAGATTAGTTTCAGAAGGTACTCCAGTGGTCTAGAATGGATGGTACTGATGAGGCGGCGTTGGGAAAGGCTGGAAGGCAGTGGAGACGGTAGACTTCGGTTTTGTTTTCAAGGGTTTGGTGATAGGTACATGTGGGTGAAGGAGAGGGAGTCAGCAAAAAATTCTTTTAGTATCTCTTTTGTTCAATTTGATGAATATTGGTGTCATTTAACAACACAGGGTAGGCTAAGTTAGCTGTTCTGGACGTGTTCATTTTTGAGATCTGAAAGAATCATATAAATGGCAATGACAGGTAAGCTGAATATTCATGTCTGGTCATCCTTATAGAAGAGATATAGACAGAAGGTGTTATTTCTGGTGCCACTTAATTACACTAAAATTCTATATCACCAATTGAATCTAATCTGACCTCCAGAGACATAGGAAGATAGATAATAGCCAAGTTTTCCGAACAGGCCAGTTTCAAATAGGCCCAGTGAAGTTCCCTTTGGTTTAATCCTTACCAAAAAATAACCTGATGTTAACCAATCAATTATTTTTTTATGATTCTGTCAGTCCTTTTCTGCCTATAGCACCAACTTCTTCTGCTCAGCTCATTGGAACACATTCTATTTTAGAGAATGAAGTGTTGCTAATTAAGGTCTTTACATTTGGTATTATTTTGTCTTTTGACACATGAAATACTGTGCTTTTGGTTTTTTTTTTTTTGAAGCGTTTAAAAATATAAAAGCCATTCTTAGCTCATGGGCCTTGTCAATGAAAAGTGGTTTGCCAACCCCTAGCATTAAGAAATTGACAGCTGGGTATGGTGGCACACACCTGTAATCCCAGGACTCAGGAGGCTGAGTCAGAAGAATCATAAATTTCAAGCCAGCCTCAGCATTTTAGTAAATCCCTAAGTAATTTGGCAAGACCCTCTTTAAAAGTTTAAAAAAAGAAAAAGGGTTTGGGATTGAACCCAGTGGTAAAGTGCCTTGGGTTTAATCCCCAATATTGAAAGGAAAAAAAAAAAGGTGACTGCCAGGCACAGAGGCTCTCACCTGTAATCCCAGCTCTTCAGGAGGCTGAGTCAGGAGGATCAAAAGTTTGAGGACAGCTGGACAACATAGCAAAACTCTGTCTCAAACTTAAAAAGGTCTTGGGGTCGGGGATGTAGCTCAGTAGTAGAGAAGTGCCTCATGCGTGCTAGACAAGCACTCTGCCACGGAGTTACAACTCTAGCTCCTTGATTGATTTTTATCAAAAACTATAAAGAGAATGGGAAGTTGAGAAATAAACAGTATGTAGACAATTATTTGAGAAGAATAACTTCAGAGGGGAAGATAAATTATATAGTGACTACAGAGGAAGAATGCAGAGGGGACGTTTTATTTTTTATTTTTTTTTTTTTAGTTGTTGATGGACCTTTATTTTATTTGCTTATTTATATGTGGTGCTGGGAATTGAACACATTGCCTCACATGTACAAGACAAGCATTCTACCACTGAGCTACAACTCCAGCTGCAGAGGGGAAGTTTTTTAAGGGAGTAAACTGATGTATAGGTCCAACTACACTAAACTCCAGATTCTATCTCATTCCTCCGCAGGCAAGCACTCTACCACTGAGCCACATCCCCAGCCCTCTCTCTCTTTTGGAAGAGATTCAACATTATCCCTTCTTTATCTTCAGTTTCCACTAGGTTTACAGTATATTCAGAATAAGATCAATATTTCTTACCATGGCCTAGAAAACTCCGGGAGTATCAGGCCTCTGCTTATCTCTTCAACTGGTCATTTCCTACGATTCCTTTTACTCCAGGCATACTTACCTTGCTGTTCCTGTTTTCAGGCCTTAATGCTCTGACAGGAAAAGCTCTTCTCCCAAAGGAGGAATTAATTTCTTTCTTTTTTAAAGAGAGAGAGAGAATTTTTTAATATTTATTTTTTAGTTTTCGGTGGACACAACGTCTTTATTTTACTTTTATGTGGTGCTTAGGATCGAACCGGCACCCCGCGCATGCCAGGCGAGCGCACTATTGCTTCAGCCACATCCCCAGCCCCCTGGGAGGAATTTCTGAGCCTGCTTCCCCCTCCTTAGTACTGGGATTGAACCCAGGGGACTCTACCATAGAACTACATCTTTTATTTATTTATTAATTTATTTATTAATAATTTCCATTATTTAAGTTTTTTTTCACAATACTTTTATTCTATTTATTTTATTTTTATGTGGTGCTGAGGATCAAACCCAGGGCCTCACACGTGCTACGCAAGCATTCTACCACTGAGCTATAGCCCCAGCCTTCCTTTTATTTTTTGAGACAGGGTCTTGCTAAACTGTTGAGGTTGGCCTTGAACTTGCAGTCTTCCTGCCTTAGCCTCTCAGGAAGCTGAGATTACAGGTGTGCATCAACCTGCATTCCTGTGACTGGCCTGAGCCTGATTCCAAAAGTAGCAACACTCATCTTTCTCTACCCATTTAATACTGCCTCTAACATTTTTCATGCTTATTATCTGTCTTCACCAAAATACACATGAGGGTAGAAACTAAATTCTAAAACATAGAATAGTGTCTATCATTTAGTAAACACTCAATATCTAAATGACACAAATATTTGAGCAATTTGTTGTTCTACTTACACTGTGTTCACCCAGTTTTCCTATTAGATTTTGAAATACACCTTATTAATGCAATAAGTGGAAAAAACAATCACTTTGAAACAGAAAAAACACTTAACAAAATCCAATACACTGCTGGGTGCAGTAGTTTATCCCTATAATCCCAGTAATTCAGAAGAAAGGTGGGAAAATTGTAAGTTATAGGCCAGCCTTGGGATTTTAATGAGACCCTGTCTTAAATTAAAAAAGGGTGGTGGTGGCTGGAAATGTAGTTCATCAGTAAAGCATCACTTGGTCCAATCCACAGTACTGCCAAAAAAAGAAAAAGAAAGAAATGCAATATGCTTTAGTTATAAAACATTCAATAAACTAGAAATAGAAATTTTGGATGGGGCAAAGGGGAGGGGGATAGGAAAGATTGTGAAATGAGATGGATATCATACCTAGGTACATGTATGATTGCATGAATGGTGTGACCCTACTTTGGGTACAACCAGAGAAGTAAAAAATTGTGCTCCATTTGTGTTCAATGAATAGAAGAGTATTCTGCTGTTATGTATAACTAATTAGAATAAACAAAAAAAGGAAAAAAAGACATAGTGTATTATTTTGGTTAGGAAATAAAGTATTGAAAACAATGTAAAAACAACTAGAAATAGAATTGAACTTCCTTGACCTGATAAAGACTGTCTACAGGTGGGCGTGGTGGTGCACGCCTGTAATCCTAGTACTTTAGGAGGCTGAGGCAGGAGGATCATGAGTTCAAAGCTAATCTCACCAACCTAATGAGACCTTGTCTCAAAATAAAAAGGTCTGGGATGTGGCTCAGTGGTTAAGTGTCCCTGGGTTCAATCCCTGGTACCCCTGCCCCAAAAAAGTATATAGTGATTCTCCAACTCTTAATACTAAAAGCTACTGAATTGTACGTTTTATATATTATGGTTTATAAATTGTATCACAATAAAGTCATTTCTTTCACCCAGGAGCATTTTTACCACCAAACTAAGTTGCCAGCCCTTTTTAATAGTTTGAGACAAGGTCTTGCTAAATTGCTGATGCTGGCCATGCACTTGTGATTTTCCTGCCTTGGCCTCCCAAGTCATTGGATTACAGGTGTGTGCCACAGTATCTGGCTAGCTTTTTTCAAGGCCACAGAGTGCCGTTTCTGTTAAGCTTGTGATTAGCCAAATTTTTGAATCCAGAAATCCAGAATGTGACACTTCAAATGTATAGGATTCTCTTACTACAAAGTAGAAAATGCCCCTATTTTTCAATCAAAGGGAGGGATTGAGAATACAGCTTAGTGGTAGAGTACTTGTCTTGCAACATGAAGCTCTGGGATGGATCCTTGGCACTGCAAAAACAAACAAAAAACCCAGGTTGAGGGCTAAGACCAGGTCCAGCCAACCCTATCATTCTCTGCTTTTTGTAGCAGCCTGCATAGCAATTGCTGCTTGCCATTCTCATACTGAGAGAATCCTAACCACATAAATGTGGTTCCTGTGTTTAAAACCCTTCTTGTGGATACCTCATTATTTTTTTTTGAGAGAGAGAATTTTTTAATATTTTTTAGTTTTCGGCAGACACAACATCTTTGTTTGTATGTGGTGCTGAGGATCGAACCCGAGCCGCACGCATGCCAGGCGAGCGCGCTACTGCTTGAGCCACATCCCCAGCCCCTCATTATTATTTAGTTAGTTCATACTCCATGACACAGAATCTGGTCCTTCATTTTGCAAACTACTCATGGCCTATGCTTGGACTCTCAGTCCAACTTCTCAATTTTCCAGGACCAAACTGGTGTTGCCTTTCAGATCTTTTTCTGTCTAGTAAATCTTTTTTTTTTTTTTTTGTACCAGGGATTGAACCAGAGGCTTTTAATCCCTGAGCCCTTTTTCAAACAGGGTACTGCTAAATTGTTGAATGGCTTTGAACTTGCAGTCCTCCTGCATCAGCTTCCCAGAGCTGCTGGGATTATAGGTGTGCATCACTATGCCAAGCTCAAGTGTTTTCTTGTGAGGGTTCCCAGACTCTTAAAGTGACTTGAGCAGACCATAGCAGAATACTATCTCCTTTCTACTTATAATTCCTGTCCCTTATAGTATACTGGAGCTTACTATAAATAGGCTACAAATAAGGTAGAGATTGGAGTCTTCCACATGTTACTGATACTAGATGTGGATTGACCTTTTTTTTGGGTACCAAGGATTGAACTCAGTGGCACTCGACCACTGAGCCCCATCCCCAGCCCTATTTTTATTTTGTATTTTATTTAGAGATAGGATCTCACTGAGTTGCTTAGCGATTCGCTTTTTGTTGAGGGTGGCTTTGAATTCATGATACTCTTCCTGCCTCAGCCTCCTGAGCCACTGGGATTACAAGCGTGTGCCACCATGCCTGGCTGGGTTGACCTCTTAAGAAAAGTACAGAATCAGCACTACCCAGAAGCCAAAGTTTGTGTGAAGTACTTGTTCCCAGAAGGCTCAGACATATCCCAGTCTTTTCCCACAAACTACTCAAGAGGCTGATTTAATTTCTTTTGCTTTATTTGCTTTATTGTTAGACACGATGTACAAACATAAAACAGAAAGAACAGCAATACTCTTGGGCCTAAAAAACTGCAAGGAAAGCAGAGGTCCCTCCCAGAAACTTTTCTTAAAGTACAAGACATTTAAGTGCTCGGGCCAAGGGTGTGGAAGGCAGGCCAGAGCCAAAAGAGAAATGGACTAAGGCTCCTTTTCTCTCTCCTCAGAGCCAGAACCACCATGGGAAGCCTCCACCGGCAGCCAGTTTATGCAGGCAGGATGCTACCTCAGGAAAAACTACCAAGAAAGCACTTGATCTTGAGGGACTAGAAGGGCAATTTTACATGGTAACTAAAAGCACCTTTCTCCTGCTCCCAAATGAGGAAAAAGGAAAGTATAGTGCTTCCCACCCCAGCTGCCCTGGGCTGGATGCCCTCACACTTGGCATTGACCAAAACCTGCCCCAGCTCAGACCCTGACCAATTCACTAGGTGCTCAAAGTTGACTGAGGAGGGACAGGGAGGGGCAGGGTGGAGGCTGGGTGTGAAAACCAAACAGATCTTTATTTGCAGTTGTCACTGGGGCCGTTTCTTGCTGTTCATTTGTTTGCTAGCCTGCTCTTCCAGCTGCATGGCCAGGCGCAAAGCCTTGATGACATCTGGAAGGAAGGGGCAGTGGTGTATGAGGAATTAATGAGAATCTAAGAGGCCCCCATTCACTCAGGGCAGAGTTGACATCCCCTGCATTGCCCAGAAGCCAGCAGGTCACCACTGTCCAATGCACAGAAGGAGCCACACCCACCTTGAAAGGCTGAGAGGTGCTTGGCTTGCTGGGCCACAGCATATTCTGCTTTGTTCACAAAGGTCTCCAGATCATAGTCTGGTTGCTCAGATATCTCAGAGAGCTCAAGCCAGCCTGGTCCTTGCTGTAAAAACACAGGGAAGACCTTGTAGATTCAATAATGACCAAACACTTCAGCAAATTATTCCTGGGCCCCAAACATCTGCAATGCAGATGCCTGTGTAAGATGCCATACCTCTATCCATGGTCTATACACTCACTGTCTCCTGACCCTTTTCCCTGGGAAAACCTTTAATAATAATAATAATAATAATAATAATTATATATATTTAGTTGTAGATGGGGACAATACCCTTATTTATTTACTTACTTATTTATGGTGCTAAGGATCAAACCCAGTGCCTCACACGTGCTAGGCATGTGTTCTACTATTGAGCCAAACCCCAGCCCTGGAAAACCTTTTTTGAAGGAAGAGTGTGGAGGATTTGACCTAGAGGTGTTTTTCCATTAAGCTACATCCCCCTGACCCTTTTTATTTTGAGACAGGGTCTAAATTGCTTAGGGCCTTGCTAAATTGCTAAGGCTGACTTTGAACTTGTGATTCTCCTGACTCCGCCTCCTGAGTCACTGGGATTACAGGCATGTGCCAATAATACTCAGCCTTTAAAAAAAAAAAACAACAACAACAACAAAAAACCAGTCTTGGGATGAACCCAAGGCCTTGCACATGCTAGGCAAGCGCTCTATCACTATACCCTTGGCCACAGTGATATATCGAGAACTCTACGAGCAGCTAGATGTGGTGATACATGCCTATAATCCCAGCAGTTTGGGAGGCTAATGGCAGGAGGATCACAAGTTTGAGGCCAGCCTGGGCAACTTAGTAAGACCCGTCTCAGAATTTTAAAAAAAGTGTTGGGTATCACCCTCTATCATGTTTTGTTCTGACCACATTATTGTTAAAAGTGCTATGTCCTTTTAAACCTCAGTACCCTGAACACTCCAGGAAGGCAGGACCTCCCTAAACCTTATCTTTCACAGTCCAGCCTCACAAGTGCTTCAAATTCTTGTTTCCACTCTGTATTCCTCAGAGAGACCCACTGTTAAGATACACTTTTGTGGCCTGGGGATGTGGCTCAAGTCGTAGCGTGCTCGCCTGGCATGCGTGCGGCCCAGGTTCAATCCTCAGTACCACATACAAACAAAGATGTTGTGTCTGCCAAAAACTAAAAAATAAATATTAAAATAAATAAATAAATATTTAAAAAAAGGATACACTTTTGTGCCTTTCCCCAATAGCAGGGATAAGAACAGCAGTATCATCTGCCAGTTAACTCAATTCAATGTTAGGCACTATGCTGATGCCTTATAAGCATGTCACATAATCCTTAATGACACCATCCTGTCTTATCCATTTTAGGGATGAAGAAACTGAGACTCAAGTAAGCAAGTAAGGCTAAATGACTTTCACAAAGAAATATCACTTTAGGGCATACTACCTGTATCTGATGTTTTAGGTCATGGTTTTAGTATAGGAACTGGAACATTCACTGAATAAATAAGATCTCTGCATAAATGACTCTTTAAACCCTCATTCAGGAGCATGGAGGAAGGAGACTAGCTGTAGCTAGGATGATGCAGGAAATTCTATAGTGTCAGGCTGGAAAAGAGGGTGGTGTGGTAATTAGCTACCCTAGGAGAACACTAGATAGGTAGAGATTTAGGAATGCCTCTTATAATCCCAACCTAAATTCCTGTGGGAACAGAACTCCAATCACATTCCAGATGGATATGTGGTCTCTTCCTGTGCAGGGCCTGTTCCCACCTGAATAATCTCCTTGAGCTCTTCCATGGCCCTCTCCTCCAGCTCCCTGATCTGTGTCATGGCTTCATTAAAGCTGGACATCTGGGAAGATAGTTCCTCCTCCTCTTTGGAGAACTAATGAACCAAAATGAGAGAGACAACAGTATGCAGAGTGTGGCCAGTTTCCACTTCAGCAAGTCATGCTTCCCTCTTGCCTGGCCCCACCAGCCCCCTTACATTATTGCCTGTGATCAGCGGCCCATTAGAGCTGGCTTCCATCTCTTCTGTTTCCATTTGAGTTGGCTGCTCTCCACTGGGCCCACTGTGGGGACTCAGCTCCTTGACTCTGAGGAAATAAGAAGGTCTCAAATCCCATGGCAGCCCCTTACACTCATCACAGGAGAGCAGCACCACTTAGGCTGCAAACTGCCTTCAGTCAAGAAGAGGTGGCATAACCTGAAGCTGGACAAGACTCACACACTGACTGTAGGGAATTGGGATGGATCTAGCACCTCCCACCTCCTACTAAGTCAGAGACAGGTATAGAGTAGACACTGGGAGCCCCCAGTCTCCTCCTTTCTCATCAATGTTATTCCTTTCCCCATCCCACCTGGCTGTAGGTCCTCATACCTGTCAGCATATCTTAGTGTATTTAAAGTATATTCACAGGAGCTTATGCCTGGTGAGATCATGGCAATCTACAAAAGAGGAAAGGGTGGTTTAGAGATTCAGAATTACAGGGTGAAGGTGCAAGACAGCTTACTCCTGGAGTAAATGCCAGGAGACCTATGTGGTAAGGTAGGAGGACTCATTTAGCACCCATGCTGTGCTAGGCAACTTGCCCCATTGGGCAAGTTAAACACTTGCAAATTAAGTTGTTTTAAAAATTGGTACCTGAGGGCTGGGGTTGTGGCTCAGTGATAGACTGCTTGCCTAGCATGTGTGAGGCACTGGGTTCGATTCTCAGCACCACATACAAATAAATGAATAAAATAAAGGTTCATCAACATCTTAAAAAAAAAATGGCACCCTGCCTTTTTTTTTTTTGGTACCAGGGATTGAACCCAGGGCGCTTAACCACTGAGCCACATCCCTAGCCTTTTTACTTTTTATTTTGAGACAGGGCCTCATAGAGTTGCTTAGGACCTTGCTAAATTGCTGAGGCTAGATTTGAACTTGGAATCTTCCTGCCTCAGCCTCCATAGCCACTGGGATTATAGATGTGTGCCACTCTGCCCAGGTCCAGGCTGGATCCTTTTGGGCTCAAGTGATTCTTGGCCACACTAGTAGCTGAGTAGCTGTGACTATAGGTTATTACCATGCTTGGCTTGGTTCTCTACTTTTAAAGGCACACTTAATTATCTTTTTTTTTTTTTGTACCAGGGATTAAACCCAGGGTTGCTTAACCACTGAGTTACATTCCCAACCCTTTTTATTTTGAGACAGGGTCTTGCTAAGTTGCTGAGGCTGGCTTTCAACTTGTGATCCTCCTGTCTCAGTCTCTTAAGAGTTGCTGGAATTACAGACATGTACCACCACACCCAACTAACTATCTTTTGCTTTTTTTTATCCCCTCTACCAAGGTTACATTCCAAAGTGCTGTAGCTCCTATTGGAAATTTCAGCTCACCCAGGTTGTGGGATAATGCCTCAGGGAAGAGAGTTTAGAGCTTAGTCAAAGGGGTTGAGGGGTGAGTCAGTGATAGGCGTGCTTGCCTAGCATGTCCAAGGCACCAGGGTATTGGGGGTTAAAAAAAAAAAGAGCTTAGTCAAAAAAGCCCTCCTTCTTCATGAAAAGGCAAGAGTGAGGCTATTCCTTGGAGAGGAGAGATGACAGGCCTCACTTAGAAAGACTTGGGAGATAAAATAGGGAAGGGGATAACAAGTTAATAGAGACAATAGCTTCATGCTCCAGTCTATTTCCTAGACTGGGAGTCAATAAACTTGAAGGAAGCCCAGAAAGACTTAAGCTTCCCCTTAAGTCTATCTTCTGAATTCTGGGCCTCTTTTCTCACTAGGTAAGGTAGGAATGACCTCTCCCAAAATCAAGACCTGTGTCTTTACACAGTAAAGGGAGTAGATCCTTTCTTCTCTGCCGGGGTGGGCAGTGAAGCTGTTGCTGAAAAGCAGGGTGTAGAAGCCCAGTGAAGAACATAGTGATGATCTGGGTTCAGAGGCACATATGTATTCAGGAGGTGGAGGCAGGATTGCAAATATGAGGATGGTCTCTCCTCAACTCAGTGATGACCTGCCTCAGATAAAAAAATAAACAAAATAAAGGCACTGTGTCCATCTACAACTAAAAATATTAAAAATAATAACAACAATAAAAATAAGGTGGGCTCAGTTGGTAGAGTGCTTGCCTTGCATGCATAAGGCCCTGGGTTCAATCCCCAGCACTGCAAAAAAAAAAATAAAATAAAATAAAAAAATAAAAAAATAAAAAATTAAAAAAATAAAAAAATAAAAATAAGGGCTGGGGATATAGATCACTGGTGGAACATTTGCTTAGAATGTGAGGCCCTGGGTGGTTCAATTGCCAGCACCACACTTGAACACAAACACAAAGAGCCTAGGAACACAGGCAGCCCGAGGTGCTGAGTGGGAAGCTCAGGGACAGTATTAAATGTTTCCTTGGAAAGCAACTCTCCTCTGCACCATCATGTCCAAAGTGGCATTACTCACCATGCAAGTCCTTGAATTCTCCCCGATAAAGGAGTCCCTCAGCACCTGTGTCAGCTTGCTCTCACGGAATGGCGTATGAGCCTTATTTTGTCCCAGGGCTCTGATGCACTCCTGTGGGACAGCAGGAACATCTGAAGCTCCTTCTTTCCTTTTGTGCTGTCCATTCCCTCCCATCCCAGCTGCACACCAGGTGAACCACCTCTAGCCTCTGCTACCTTCAGGGCCAGGAGACTCTTGTTGATTTCAGCGCCTTCCATGCGGGTCTGCCGGTCAGCACTGGAAGTGTCTGCACCTCGCTCGTTTCCTGCCAGATCCACCAAAGAGAATTTGCCATGCACTCTCCCTTTGGCTCGAAGAATAATCTGGAAGCAGGCATGGGAGCGGGAGGAGTTGGAGTTGGCAAATGTCTGCCCAGAAGTCCTGTGGCAGAGGAGGGCAAAGAAAGGACATGAGCTTCTAGGGTCACAAGCTCCCAGGGCACCCCAGTCCACAACAGGAGAGATTCTAAGAAGTCCTGTGTCTGCCTGTTCTATAGTTCCATTCTGCCCTCTCTAGACAGTAGTTCTCTCTCCATCTCTGAACCTGGGGATAAGAACCCAGGGAAGAATGAGCTGCCTCTGCTGCAGGGCACACACAGTGATGTCATGAACTACTTGTCTGAACTTGAGGGCCCTGCATAGGGCAACCCCTCCTTGGCCCTCCATAGCTACCCAGCAACCACTGCACCATGCCAGCACTTCTTTCCTTTTTGGGTATTGGGGCCTGAACAGGCACACTACCTCTGAGCTCCATCCTGTTTTTATTTTTTATTTTGAGACAAGGTCTCAATGAACTGCCCAGGCTGGCCTCAAACTTGCAATCCTCCCACCTCATTCTCATCCTCCAGAGTTGGTGGGATTATAGGATACAACATCACATCTAGCAGTGCTTCTCTATTTCTGTATGGAGGAGCTATGGGCCCTATTACTTCTAGCCCATAATAGACCCAGAGCTCCTTCCTGACTTCCACCAGAAAGGAAGGGAAAACAAGAATTTCATAGATGCCAGGAAGCTTGACTTGATTAAATTTAAGTTGTTTTGATCTGTTTTTGCTGAGTCTGTGGCCCTAAGTCATTTGTCCCATGGAGATCCTTTAAAATAGAGACCTTCACAGCCCTTATCATGCTGGGGGAAAAAGTGCTATATGTGCTAAATGGCCTCACCTGAATCAGGCTTCAGAAGGTGGCCCTCTCCCCTTTCCAGAACTCTAACCTGCAGGCACTGCCTATGTCGATCATCTTGATAACATCTTCGGCTGAGTTAACCAGGTGCTCCTGTAGCCCCACCACCTGCACCTGTTGCTTGCCATCTTCCAGCACACGCAGCTTGGCCTTCTTATTGAGCAGGTCGAACAGCTGTGCCAGGCAGGGGAAATAAGGGTAAAGTCACAGGCACCAAATGCCCTGCCCAACTCTTTCCTAAAGTGTCTGCTCCAGCTTAGACAAGGGTTGGTAGCAGGAAAGGCAGAGAGCATACTAGCTGATAGGGTATCAGGCCAGCAGAGGGTAGTATGCTTGAGATCTGAACCAGTGTGCCTCAGTTTAATCCAACTCTGCTACTTTACTAGCTGCATGAGGCTGGGCAAGTTAATGAATCACTCTACTGTCTCTACAGATGGAAGATAAGCTAGAGTGCATAGAATAGTGCTTAGCACATAATATCCTGTTAATGGTAAATAATAGCTATGTTTATTATCTAGGCACTGCTCTAGAGAAGGAAACTCTGCAAAAACAGGGGATGTAGAGAGGCAGAAAGAGATACATAGGGAGTGGGGAAATGAACATAAAAATGCAGTCAGGGGAAAAGGTTATAAAGGAAGTGTGTCAAGGGAAGAAAGGGCATATATAAGGCAAACCTTCCATCTAGAGGGAGCCATGAGGAGTATTTCTGCTGTAATTGTTGAGCTTGGCTACTATCTCATGATCAAATGAAACTTCCTACACAAGTCAAGCCAGAATGGCCCAAAGATATGACAGTTAACTAGTTTGTTTGTTGGCTTCTACCACTTCTAGCCAACTTCAAGGTTTTAGAAAATCAGGGACCCCAGCAGCATAAAAAGAGGGCTCCCTGCCAGCTACCTTCCCATTGTAGATCTCGAAGAATGTCACATAGACTTCCAGGCCCAGGTTCCGGTAGCGGGACTGATTCTTCAGGAGGAAGACGTCCCGGGCTGAGGGAGAGAGCCTGGATAAGTGAGCAACTTGCCTTTCTATACCCAACCCCGATGCAGCAGAACACACTACTTACAGGCCATGGCGTAGATCCCCTTGGATGCATTCTGAGCTTTACCAGACAGGTCTCCACCCATAGTCTGCAAAAAGAAGAGGTAGATGACTATGGTAAAGGCCTTTGGCCTTGGCCAGAGCAATACTGGCTCTATTGCCAAAAGAGGCTACACCAAAAACAGGAACTTGACCTGCTAATGTACTACCTATATCTGGAATGGTGTGTGTGTGGTGATGGAGCATCTGCACTGAGGGGACTTTCTGCAAGAAACTAATTGTTTTCGTTTTCAGAGACTCAGTGCTGTACCATTGGAAGGCTCTTCCCTTCTAGACCTGAATACTCACATGAGTCTTGCCACTTCCTGTCTGCCCATATGCAAAACAAGTTGCTTTTCCTCCTTCAAAAATTGTCTGTACCAGTGGCCTTGCTGTGAACCTAGGAGAAAGTATGGAGTAGAGGGAAGTGTTTGTATAATCACCTTGGTATCCAAGGGGGACTGGTTCCAAGACCTCCCTGCACCCACACAAATCAGCAGATGCACACAAGTCCCTTACATAAAAATGATAGTATTTGCTTATAACTTACACACACCTTATGGTATACTTTAAATCATCTGTAGATTACTTATAATACCTAATATAAGGTTTTTACTACATCGTTTAGGAAAGAATGACAAGAAAAAAGTCTGTCTAGTAAAGATAATTTTGTTTCTCTAATATTTTCAATCTATAGTTGATTAAATCCACAGATGCAGAAACCAAGGTTACAGAGGGTTCTCAAAATGTGCTCCCTAAAAAAAAAATCAGACAACAAACAAACAAACAAACAAACAAACAAAAAAATGTGCTCCCTAGAATACAGTCCTTCTACTGCAGAACTCTGGGGTTCCTCAATTGCTTCTAAGCATTGTACTTCTCTCTTGCTTCAGTGGTCCAACCTGATCTCAATGCTACTACCAAATCTGTAATACCACCAACTAACTGGGAGGGTGGGGTGAGTATTAGACTGACCTGCCAGGAGCAAGCTGATGGCCCAACTCTAAGCCATCCAGCCTCTCCTATGACTCTAGACACCTAAGATAAAAACATGAGCTTAGCTGACAACCTGCAGCAAAAGACATAACACAAAGAGTGTATAATACAGTGGTGCATGTTTATAATCCCAGCTACTCTGGAGGCTGAGACAGGAGGATCACAAATTTGAAGCCAGCAACTTAACTTAGCAAGACCCTGTCTCAAAATAAGCTGGGTGCAGTGGTACATGCCTGTAACCTCAGCAGCTCAGGAGGCTGGGACAGGAGGACTGAGGCCAATCTTGGAATTTAGTGAGGCCCCAAGCAACTTAGGAAGACTCTGTCTCAAAATAAAAAATATAAAGGATGTGGCTCAGTGGTTAAGTGTCTCTGGTACCTGGGTTTTGGTACCAAAAACAACCACAAAATAAAATAAAAAGGAGGCTGGAGCTATAGCTAAGTGGTAGAATGCATGCAAGAGGCCCTATTTCAATCTTCAGTACCTGTCCCCAAAAAAAGTAAATAAATAAATAGGGCTTGGATTATAGCTTTGTGGTAAAGCACCCCTGGGGTCAATCTCCAGTACTTTTCTCCAAAAAGGTGGAGTCATTAGTCAGATTTAGCCTATGGAACAAACGATTACTCTTTGCTCTAGAATGGTGCTATCTCCAATGGAACTTCCTGTAATGATGGATATGTTCCCTATTTGTGCCATATAGCCTCTGCCACATGTGGCTACTGATCACATGAAATATGGATAGTGTAATTATACAACCAAATTTCTTATTTGGCTTTCATTAGATTTAATTGAGGCTACTGGATGTGTACTATACAGAGAATATCTGGAGTTATCTGAATCTGCTAAGCCCAGTGGGTAAAAAAGCAGCAGCCCTGGAGCCTGCCCAGCCTAACCCCATTGTATAATCGGTAATATCCCACTCATGATCTACTCAAGAATGGGCCACTCAAGTTGCAAAAGGGGATGTGGCAGACCCAAAATAGGGCCTTCCTATTGCCAGGAACCAGAGTTTGGAGGGCTGAACCAAAGAAAATACAGGAGGCCAGGTAGGGTCTCAGAAGTTAACATGTCTGTGAGCATGTTATCACAATGTCCCACATCAAAAAGAGGAAGTGGTGGGGGAAGAAGGGGTATAAGGATAAAAAAAGAGGCAAGGACTAACCTGTAGACAACTTCATTTGAAGCTGTTTCATCAAATGCAAAATCAAAGCAAAATGCTTGGTTCTCTAGATACTTTGTTAAGTCCACTTTTAATTTGGGTTCATGTACCAGGAGGAGACACTTGCTAGGAACGGAAATCACATCAATTTCTTTCTTGGCCAATTCTGTGGAAGGAAGAATATTTCAGGGGATAATCCCTGGATGCAAGAGACCCTCAGTCATTGAATCCTCTGATTTAGTGGTTTACCTTGTTTATTCAGAGGGCGTTTCCTCACACACACACAAATCCTGTGCTCTTCAATCTACAAGAAGATGAGGAGACAACCAAAGGGAAAAGGATCAGAGCAATATCAAAAGAGAGCTTGTCTACACCCTCTCCCCAGGTCCCAGCAGTAGACAATATCTAACATTAGGACATTAGCCTCTCCCATTAACCACTCTAGAGCACAAGGAGGTTGCACTGAATTTTATCAGTTTTCTTACTCTGCTGCCTGAAACAGGAGATTTCAACATTACTTTCATGAATGTTAGTAAGAGTCTAGCCTATCTACAGTGTGGGGTTTGTGGCATAGTTTGTAAGATCAGGACCTCCCACCTAGGCCCTATTCCTAAATGGGCATTTAAAAAACCAAAATGGGTTGGGGGTATGACACAGAGGTAGATTTTGTGCTTAGCATATGAGGCCTTGGGTATAATCCTTTGCATCAACAACAAAGAATAAAGGGTGAGTGAAGACTCCAGCATACTTTCAATTCTATAAAATCAAGTTTTCTGTCCCTTAATTGTATATCTACTCAGGAAAGAGAGGTAGGAGCTCTTTTGATTAACTTACAGGATCAGTTACATTAAGTGGATTACATTCCATAGTAGTCCGAAATTCTTTAATCATCCGGGCAAATTCCCAGTTTGGAAAGCTGTTGTCATACTCCTGTTTGAGATGAGGGTAAAAACAGATTGTTAAGTGCGCTCAAACGTGGTCCTAAGGGGCAGCAACAATGGCTCTCTGTATCAACTTCACAGTTGGCAAAGACCCACCCTGGCTCTAAGCTGAGAAGTCAGGTACAGATGAATTGAGCAGAAATTGGCAGGGGAGCCTAGACCCATACCACCCTAGGAAGTAGGACAACGGCCACTATTCCACATCTTGGGAGACACAGCAGCAGATTAGGCTTCCCCAGAGCAATTAACCCAACTAAAGGGAATCCACTGCAGTCTTCCCCGCCTTGCACTACATGAAATTAGGGGGAGTGAAAAAAAGCCAGCAACTATGCCCAGACACAACATCACACTGGGTGAGCATTTCATGTGTTTCCCTAGTGGACAACTGGCATCAAGTACTGCTCATCTGAGAGCCTGAAGATAAATTTCTGAATTATGTATTTGTTCTCTGAATCCTGACGAGAAATCAATTAAATTCCTATGTATCAGGATTGGAGTTCATAAAACGTTGGAGCCTCTCTCTCTCTCTCTTGTCTATAGGGCTTCAGTAAAGGGTGCCTGTCCCAAAATTTGCCCAAGCCTCCCAAAAGAAAGGTACCTGGGCTCGCCTTATTCTCATTTCAGTGTTCTGCGCTCTCTTCTCTTCTCGCTTGTTCTTCATTTTTTCCATTTCCTTCACAAGACATGATTTTCTCCGAACTAGAGGGAGAAAAGGAACCCAATCTTTTACCTGTGTGGTCAGTCTGCTGAGACTTGTATGTTTCCCAGAAACAGGCCTTCTCTAGATCCTCACCCTTAAATCCCTATATGCAAGAAGCAGTAACAGGTCTGACTCCTGAGATACAGAGCAGTGATAATAGCACTCAGTCTGATCTAAGCTCTCTCTATGACTCTGGTTATTTTCTCAACAATTAAAGAGGTAAGACAGCTCTGATTGGTCTTGAGTCACTCGGGGTGTTCAGGTTTTGGTCAACACCTTAGCTGTTAATACATCAATTACATCAGAAGACTGCTGCCCAATCTTTCACCTCTAGTGAAAGAGTTCATAGCCACAGAAAAACATGCCTTTAAGATGACAAAAGGGTTTGAACTCAGGTGTCCAGGTAGGCCCGATTTGGGATAGATATTAATGATTTGTTCCACAATAGGAACAGAAGAGCAGACAGCTTAGCGTGTCTACCTGAGTTCACAGGGTTTGTAGAAGAGCTGCCTTGGATGGAGTGAACTTGCTCTTCCACCTCCTCGCTGACCATCGTCAATGGTATTTCCGCCACTGCAGGGCAGGAGGGCCTAGGGGGGCCCGCTGTGGGGGAACAAGAGTCACTGGAGAAGTAAGCAGGTACATGAAAGCTGTCTTCATTTGGACCCTAGTGGGTCACAGGCCAGGAGGAAGGATACTATACTGCCTGCCAGGTCAGCAAGGGCCCAAGCCTTTCCAGCATAAGCAGAACTTGGGCTTTTCCCTTCACCTTAGCTAACAACCTTATCCCAAGTCCCCTTTCTGCAGGGGCAGGACTCCGAGATCAAAATACCCTGAGGGTGCTGGGGATGTGGCTCAAGCAGTAGCGCGCTCGCCTGGCATGCGTGCGGCCAGAGTTTGATCCTCAGCACCACATACAAACAAAGATATTGTGTCTGCCAAAAACTAAAAAATAAATATTAAAAATTCTCTCTCTCTCTCTCTCTTAAAAAAAAAAAATAGCCTGAGGTATATGGACTTTCCCATGAAGGGAAATACCTGGAGGCATGAACTCTGTAGACTTGCCCTAAAGCATGTCTTCTCAGGCCAGGTTTTTCTACCCATTTGGGGTAGCAGGGAACTTGGGCAACAACTAAACACATGGATTCAATAAGGAAGGTTCAATCCATAATGCCCCATTACCTCCTCATATGTGGTCATGACCCTTTCACTTACCTTTATCCTATTAGCTAACTTCGATACATGTCAAGTGTAAGGATTATGTAGTTTAGAAAATCTGCATCTACTTTGCTTATCTATTAAAGGTTGATAAATATTTCACTTAAAAAATTATTTTAAAAATTCCACTTATGGGGGCTGGGATTGTGGCTCAGTGGTAGAGCGCTTGCCTAGCTTGGGCGGGACCCGGGTTCGATCCTCAGCACCACATAAAAATAAAAGGCATTGTGTTGTGTCCATCTACACCTAAAAAAAAATATTAAAAAAAATTCCACTTATATAAAGTGAAAAAAGAGAAAAGCTAATTTATGCTATTAGAAATCAGGACTGTAGGTATCTAGGGGTTAGGAATTGAAGTCTGAAGATTTTTGGAGGGCTAGTAAATGCTCTGGTCTGGTGTTAAGTGAGTACATTCAGTTTGAAAAAATTCATTGAAATATATATGTGTATATATATATATATATATATATATATATCAATCATACTTTATACACTGCATTGTGTGTACATACATATATATTTGTGTTTATGTATATGTATAGAAACACACACACACATATTTTGTGTGTGTTGTTTTAACTGAGTTTTTTGTTTGTACTGGGGATTAAGCCCAGGGATGCCGAGTCATATTTCTAGCCCTTCTTACTTTTTATTTTGAGACAGCATCTTGCTAAATTGCTTAGGGCCTTTCTAAATTGCTGAGTCTAACCTCAAACTTTCGATCCTCTTGCCTCATCCC